ATAATAGCATGACAGTAACAAAACACACTTTCGTGAAAGTTCTTGGCTTCACTTTTCTTGAAACCTATACACTACTTGCCATTTGCAATGCCTATAAAACAACAGGAATATGGCTATTTAATCCCAATGCCATTAGCCCTGACTGCTTGGACACTTTACTAACAATCGAAAAATTTTTGACTTATCTTCATATAGCAACTCTTTCATCCAACCTATTGAACCAGGCCAACCTTTTGACCAACTTGTTGAACCAAGTTTTGCATCTCAACCAAACCATTTTTATCCTACAAGGTTGAATGTTAATTTGTTATAAGAAGAAAATAAAATGCTTAAGAAAGAAAATGAATTATTAAAAGTTCAATTTGCATTAGCAACAGAAGAGCTTGATGTTTACAAAAATCCTAGAACATCTACTTTGTGCTTAGTTCTAAAGTATCCAGTTCATAGTTCACAAAACAATAACTCTCAAGCAACTTCTGAAAACTAACCTAATCCCAAAAAGCAGTTAGATTCTCCGTTGCTCCCTCTTAAAAAAAAGAGAAAAATGCTCCCTTTTGCTCGACTTCTTATAAATAAGGAAAGCTAGCGGCAATTAAAAGAAGCGAATGAGAAATTAGAGCAAAAGATTGCAGAGACAAAATGAAAAAAAGAGATAATAGCCCAAAAAAAGCCTCATGAAAACTTGAACTAGCACAAAAAAAAAAAGAACGTGTTAGAAAAAGTTAAGAAAAGTTAGCAAGAAAAAAAAATAAGAAAAAAAATTTTTTTATAAATTTGTCACAATACCTTCATAACCTAAAATTTTTTGATTTTGGCACTATGAACAAAAATGATGATCTTGTACCAATATTCAAATCATGCATTCTTAATTTGTATTAGATTTATTCTATATATATTGTATTATTAGTAGTTTAAATTTTAAAGTTCTATATTGAGTTTATAAAAAGTTTTCTTTTTCTCTTTATTGCTCTTTTTTTGACAACTTCTCACTATTGCTTGTCTTGCTTTCCTCCCTTGTCATATTACGAGTCTTTATTTTCTTCCTCTTTGCTTTACCTCTTGGTCGCCCAGGACTGTCAACCATTCTTACTA